TTTTATAGTGAGAGAAAGTACCTTGTCAGTAAGATTATTTTGACTGTCTTTTCTTGTCTTCCCAGGTATCTGAGATTCACTTCTCTTGCTGTCAAGCACAGAGCAGACCTACAGAGGAAATTCAGTGAGCTCCCCAGATTGCTGCTTTTTTCCTAATTCCAGGAAAAAATGGGTCATTCTCTGCCTTGTTTTTCCCACCAGGTTCAAGTGTTTCAGGAAGCTCCCTGATGGACACCAAGGGCAAACATCCAGGGATGGAGGGTGGTCTGTCTGGCTTCCGCAGGGCTGGCAAGATCCAGCTCCAGGGATGTGTGCACCTGTCCAGGACCCATCCCTGCAGGGCTGGTGGGACTCTGGTCCTCAGAGAGAAGCTCAGGAGGGCACAGAGGCTTGAGAGGAGAAGCCTTGCAAGAACTTGAAAGAGGAGCTGGACTCCAGTCAGACACAGTGGGATTCTCAAGAAGGGTTCAAGTCCCAGAGGGCTGTTATGGTTGGAGTGAGTAATCAGCACACCTAGCTGGCAATTAAGATAAGCCACGCCTGACGGAAGGCCAAACCCAGGAGGAGACCTGGGGGCTCCCCAGGTGCACTTAAGGAAGGGAATCGCTGTTCGTGTCCAACTCTTTGTGGCCCCATGGACTGCAGCACGCCAGGCTCCTGTCCTTCACCATCTCCGAGAGTTTGCTCAGAGTCATGCCTGTTAGTCAGTGGTGCTATTTCATCCCCTGTGGTCCCCTTCTCCTCCTGCCTTCAATCTTTCCCAGCATCTGGGTCTATTCCAATGAGTTGGTACTTCATATCAGGTGGCCAAAGTATTGGAAATTTCAGCTTCAGCATCAGTCCTTCCAATGAATATTAAGGACTGATTTCCTTCAGGATGGACTGGTTGGATCTCCTTGCAGTCCCAGGGACTCTCAAGAGTCTCTCCAACCCCACCGTTCAAAAGCATCAATTCTTCACCCAGCTCTCAGCCTTTTTCACGGTCCGGCTCTCACGTCCGTAATGACTACGGAGGCACAGTCCCCCGGTGTCCACTAGGTGGCAGACCCTTTCCTTTACTGCCGCTAAGAGCTTGTGCGTGATCGCAGGCACCTCCTGATACTCACGCCTGAAGGATCGCTTATGACTCATTGACATGCAGATTCCTGGGGCCCCTTTCCAGAACGTCCAGTTCAGTTTTCTGGGGCCTGAGATGCTGCATTTCTAAGAAGGTCCAGGTGCTGCACCATCTCAGACTCTGGGAGGGGAGGAGGTGGGCGTGAGTCGGGCTGTCCTCACGGCTGAGTAATCGGTTCACATTGTGGCAAAAACTATGCGGAGGTGTAGCGTGGCTCGCTGGACGGAATTGGATCGCTGGCTTCTGGGTGGAAAGAGCCTCCGGCACTAGAGCAGATTTCAACTGTGGGATCTGTAGCAGAATGTCAGGGCTCCAGGGCACTCTTTTTATTTAAACATGTTACCAGTTAGTTTCCTTAAAATGACTGTAACACAAAGGAGCACGCATACGCCTAGACTGAAATAAAAACTGTACTGCGATCAACCCTAGAAAGAAGACATTTGGTACCTACTAAAAATAAGCCTGAAGAAAAACATGAAGAACGCTACAAAGCATGTATCAGTAAATCTCAAACAATTTACAAAACAGCCAGTCCGGGACCGCCCAATCCTTGGTTCTGCGGCAGCAGACTTTTACATGGGCTCTGCATGGCTGACTGACTGGTGATTTTGACAAGATCCAACTAGAGTCTACACCGGTCAGTGAGAGGGATCCACTGAGCAGCCTTTGAATGCCAGTGGCAGTGCTTTCCGGTAATGACAGTCTGTAACGCTTCCTCTCCGTTTCTGTACTTGCATCAACAGAGACAGGTAGGAAGTAAGAGTTTGCAGCAGGGCCCCCAACCACAAGGGCTCCCTCAGTGGCTCAGAGGTAAAGAATTAGCCTGTAGGACACATGAGTTCCATCCCTGGGTTGAAAGATCCCCTGGAGAAAGAAATGGCAACCCACTCCAGTATTTTTGCCGGGATGTGCCATGGACAGAGGAGCCTTGTGGGTGACAGTCCCTGGGGTAGGAAAGAGTTGGACACAATTTAGAAACTAAACAACAATCCAACCAGGAACCACACTCAGAGGCACCTTGGTCTAGAGTGGCTAGATCACTGATTTGGGAGATGAGTTTTAGCACAACTTCAAGTGGTCTATTTGTTCTTTTGGCTTCTCCACTGCAGACCCTCGACTTTGTATCCTTTAAGGCTTAGTCGTTACTGTTGTTCAGTCTCAGTCGTGTCTGACTCTTTGCGACCCCATGGACAGCAGCACGCCAGGACTCCCTGTCCTTCACCATCTCCCAGAGCTTGCTCAAACTCATGTCCACTGAGTCGGTGATGCCATCCAGCCATCTCATCCTCTGTCTTCCCCTTCTCCTCCTGTCTTCAATCTTTCCCAGCATCAGGTCTTTTCCAGTGAGTCGGCTTGTCACATCAGGTGGCCAAAGGGTTAGTTGGTTCTCACCAGTTCCTCTTGGGGTCCTGGAAATGGGGGAACTTGGATGGATTTTTGACTCTGCTGCTATTTTTTCTTCAAGACTGTGAAGGACAATGTCCTGCACTTAGTAGCCAGTTAATAAACACAGATGGGATGCATGGAATGGCAGCCCAGGAAAGCGATATCGAGTGCGCCTGCAGGCTAGACAGAGAGAGCCAGGAGATGAGTGCCCAGCCTGGGTAAGACAGCTCTTCCACAGTGCCTGTGAAGAGGCAGCTGGCAAGTATCAGAGAGGACCCAACTCCGGAAAGAAAAGCATCTAATCCAGATGTTCCTCCGGCCTCTCTGCCGCCTCATCAAACACGGGTGTCCACTGGGAACGCGTGAAGTTACAAGGTTTCGGCCATGACCACGTAGGCATCCCGTGACTCCCCGTGCTGAACCCAGGCACTGCTTCGAATCCATGCCAGCGAGGATCCTGGCGTTGCTCTGGAAACTACAGCAGCATTTACCTTTGCTGTGTTCCTTTTACAACTAGAATCTGGAGGAAGGGCTTTCATTCAAGAGTTTAATTACATTCTCCTATGAAACAATTCTCTGCCTTGCAGCAAAAGAGAGCTGAATGAATGCAAAACGGATGGTGAAGTCTGACCTCCCTGGACCTTCGCGCCCCACGCCGCACCCAAATGTCCTGATCTCCTCCTTGCCTCACCAGAGCACGGCCCAGGGGATCTGCGTGATGTAATGATGCCGAGCAAGTAACAGTGATGGCAGCAAGGATGACGCTGACGTTCAGAGACCACGATGAGGGGTGCTGTGCTTAAATAGCGACATGTTATCTAATTCAATTCTGTCAGCAATCACATAGCTTTGTTTAAGGATGACTAGTGGAAGGGGTGAGATTCTAGCCCAAATACGGTAGACTCAAAAATCCGCGACCTTAATTGCTGTATTTACAGGCCTTAGGGTCTTGGAAACCAAACAGAAACTCTTTCCTTTTGCTTTCAAGGTTTACCAATAAACTGGAAGGTGTACAGTTGTAAAAAACTCTGTATGTGCAAGGCCAAGATTTCTTACGAACGACGGAGATGGACCCATGAGTGAGTGAATGAATATGGTACCAATCAGGAATAAATCAAATTCAGTTTGTGGGTCCTTAGATCATGAGGACACTACAGTTCCCTGTAAACCAAGGACTGATGTGTTTTTGATGCCAGCTCCTAAAATTTGAAACTACGATGTGGTTACAGATTTTAAGATTAACTCTCGATTGTATTTCAAACAAATGTGCACAAACACACACAGACACACACACACAGACACACCTGTTCTATATCCCAACTCCTTTGGAAAAACTTACTTTGTTCTTTTTCAGAATATCCCTTTCAATTTCTCAGCCTCCTAAGTAATAAAGATGAGAGACAGTTCAAACACAGATCCTCCTCAAGAGAACATGGATGGTTTTGACTGCATTCAAATGAGAGCTCATGCCACTATTTTATTATTTGTTTAGATAATCCTGTTTTCATTTGAGACAATCTGCACACTCAGCTTCCAAGGTCAACTGGTGCTTCCAAGGAGCTTTTCAAGTTTTCAGAAAAGTTACAGGACCAGCAGTTTTTTTAGAAGGGTGACAAAATCATGTGTTTATGTTCAAGTTAGAACAGTTTACAAAGGTCCTATATGGCCCATATATAGGGCTCTTTACAGACTTTCATTAATATATCTTGATATGTGATTGGCAGATTTTCAAACACATCGTTTGAAATTTTATCACGCTAACACAATATTGTAAATCAACATAAAAACTTGATCATGAATCAAAGTCCTCAAAGAACATGGAAAAAGACTTTATTTTTAAAAAATGCTAAATGGAAAAAGGGTGGAGGGTCACATGAACTTGGACATTTAAAGACACAAACTGATTTAAGAAGCAAAGATTTTGGGAAGCCCTAAGACCATAAAGCGATCAACACAAAGACATCTGTCAGGGCGGAGGCGACCTGAGGTGAAGACCAGTTAAATCTAATGCAATCAGAAACTTAGGCCAGTTTAACATTTTTTTATGAGGTGACAACCCCGTAACACCATAATCTCGCCTTTCAGGTTGATGACACAGGACTTAATGAGTCAAAGAAAACAACTTCAAACCTCTCTTTTGAACGTGAACTGTCTATTTAGGTTAAAGGTAGATTTGGAGATCCTATTAGCTCCTGGCACAACTGGGAAAAGTCATGTACACACACACACACGCACACACACACACACTTCAAAGCAAGTAGTTATGTAACGCTAGCAGTGTCTGTTTCTACTCAGCTTCAAAAACAGAACTGAAGCCAAAACTAACAACCCTCCTGCTCATTAGGGAAAGAAAAATGTCTTCTCCCCCAAGTAGCCCCAACAGGAAGCTGAAATTAACTGCTCTCCTCGGAAACCCACTTCTTTTATGCTTCCCAGAAGGTCTGGGGGTAAATGCACTTTGGAAGAGAGCTGCCGGGGAACCCCACAGACACCATACCTGGGCTCGGGGGGCGCCGAGCACTGAGTCACTACTGTGGCCATCCCGGGTCTCACAAACATCTGGTTACCTTTGCATTTCTTCTCCTCCGTCTGGAAGGTCTGGGTGCTGGGCACGCTCTGATCGCTCACGTCGTCGTGGTCCAGATGGAATATGGAGCTCGTCCAGGTGGCCTGGATGAGGGGTGACTGCTCATGTTTCAGGGGCCCGCGCCGCTCTGGGTGGCTCTTCCGATGCAGGCAGCCTTCAGACATTCCCACGAGCTTCCACTCCGGCTCGCCGTCTGGACAAGGCTTCGGCTTGTCCCAGGCTGGAAGGCCATTTTCTGGAGGGTTGAAAGACACGACATGACGGGACTGTTGGCACTGTCAAGACGGGGCCGAGAGGAAATGGTCTGGAAGGCAAGCGCTTCCCGGGCCCGCGGGGGCTGGCCGCGTGCCTGGACCCTTCCACCCGATGGCGGCGGTAAGACGCACGGGGAGCCGGCCTCGGGCACGGAGCCCCTGGCGCTGGACTGCCTGCGGAGGAGTCAACGCATTTCTCCCGATTTTTAGTGCCTAGAAAGGACATCGGCTCCTCCACCGAAAGGCCGCCCTCTCGCCAGCCCCGCTCCCGATGGCACTGGCTCGGGAGCAAGTGGGCACCAGTTTATGACACTGCTTAGGTGACCATGTGAGGTCTCGAGGGTCAGGGCTGGCCGCGGGCACTTTTCAGATCCTCGGGACATACAGCGTCCAGGATGCGGCCTTGTGTGACTTGGGTGTTATCACCGGCTGACCTGAGGGGCACCCTGTTCCCTGAGAGGGACATGCCACGTGGCTACAGGACCGTGACAACTCGGGCTCCTTGCCACCTTCCACCCCCGCCAGGCCGGCATAAGGGGCTGGTCTTCCCAGGGAAACTGTGTCAGTGGCTTCCATGTCCTCCCGAACAGGCGAGACAAGATGCGGTCAGCAGACTGTGCTTTAGTTGGGCAAATTAAGAGCTCTGATGACAGAAGGAAAAGCCCCGCGTCTGGCGCTGAGATGCAGGCAGTTAAGGCTTTCTATGTGATGCTCTTTACTCAGTTTGAAGGGGCTTGAAGGTCTGCCCTCTAGAGAATGGGAAACAGCTGGATAATATAATGAAAACGCTCTCACACCAACTTTCCCTGGGGGCAAATTTTACCTCCTTGAATATTTTTACTGAACACAGGTATAAGGAAGAGAGTAAAAAGAGTAAGTGAATATATATGATTTGTGGATGCATTCACACTAAAAAGCATAATCCATCTGGTCACCCATACTTCCAGAAATTCTGTCTGTCAAAATAGGAAAAAACACAAATAGAGTTCTACTTTTAAGTGATTAGAGACAGTGATGGAAAGATTAATTGATGAGTGAATTTTCTTTTATGCTCAAATGACCAAAGGACTGTAAGTGTCCATATCAGAGAGACAGGTCCGCCCTGACCTATGTGCAGTACTAGGAATTGAAAGCTGCTTTTCAGACATTTAAGGTAAATTTTAAACTGTTAAATGCAAAAGTTAAACCTGCTTTCGGTTCTCACCAGCCCCTGTGTAAAGCTGCTGGATGTTTTCAGAGATGTTGGTTAGGGTGGTTTCTCTAAAGGTGTCGTCTGCTCCTAGCCCCCTTTGGAAGCTGCGTTTACCATTCGTGGTCTTGGGATTACCTTGTGGAAGTCCTGACTCCCATCCATTTCCTTTCTAGTACAGGAGAAGACTGCGAACAGAATCACAGCAAGGCAGTAATAACCAACACTCAATTTCTCTGTCACAGTAAGTGCAAATACAGCAGCTTGAAATACCCTCACTTGGCCAGTAAGAAATGATCCCCTTAAAAAAAAAATCATACAATGCTTGGGATGTAACATTTGATCTTATTCAGAGAAGAGCCCTGAAAATTCACTCTGTGATCAGATCTGTGCTTGGCCCTGGGTAAGAGGTGTGAAATAGACCCAGGTCTTTCTCCTCAGTTTAGGTGACATTATTCAATTCATGGTGAATCCTAGAGGTCAGGACTCCACCGTGCCAGCTACTGGTGCAGTTAGGGGCATTTATTCTCACTTCCCATGAAAAGAAAACAGAAGATTGGGATCTTGGGAGATTGTATGGCATTTCAGATGAAACATAGCTATGCAGAATTCTTTCAAGGACCTAGTCTCCATGAGGGTTTGATGTTTTCATGAGCTGAATATAAAGTCACTGAATGCAAGGATTAACTCTGCAAAAGGAGTTTCATTCTGTTTCTGCTGATGTGAGACGCATTCTCACCCATGTGTGTTTCCAGGATGTCTACTCAACTGTCACGGACTCTAAATCCTCAGTAAATTACATTGTGCAATATTCCTTTGTAAGTGATGTTAAAGTTATCACAGTGTTTTTGTAGAGCCTCCAACATTTGATTTTTCTGAAGAAATTCTTAAGATGTGGTATTAATTCCCTTGCCTGCACAGAAATTAATAAATACAGCCTAACTGGGTTGAGAGTGCTCCCCAGTGAAGGGAGCTAGTCAACATGTGTGGATGAGAGATGCTGGAAGAGACCTCGCCCAAGGGGACGTTCTTCTTTATAGCACAGCCCATTAAATCTTGCTCAGCACGTCCCTTGGGCCAGCAAGAGGGGGGACTTCTTCCAAGCAAGAGACGTTATTTGGAGGTTGAGACAAGGAATAAGATTGCCTTCCATTTTCCTAAGAAAAGAAGCCGGGGTGGTTTGGGAAAGAGTTCCATTCATTGGAGCCATGTCCAAGCTCGTAATTACGGTCTGCAATTACACTCATGATAGTGATATTCAGTTGCTCAGTTGGCAGGTTTTTTGGCTGGGGCACTTCTGGGACGAGAAGTCCTGGCTGGGTCACAGAAAAGCTCAAGACGGATTTATTTAAGGAGGGTTCTTGGTTACCTTTCCAAGATGAACAGAAAGTGTTAGCCACTCAGTCATGTCCGACTCTTTGCGACCCCATGGACTGTAGCCCACCAGGCTCCTCTGTCCATGGGGTTCTCCAGGCGAGAATACTGGAGAGGTTGCCATTCTCACCTCGGACATCTTTCTGACCTGGGGATCGAACCCCTGTCTCTCATGTCTCCTGCACTGGCAGGTGGGTTCTTTACCACTGTGCCACCTGGGAAGCCCAAAATGTTTTGGCTGTGCCAGGCAGCATGTGGGATTTTAGTTCCCAAGATGAAGAAGGCAAACATAATTCCTATTCCATTCCCAAGGAGGGACGAGACACAATTCCAGGCTCCTTCACTTCAGCTGACTGTGGGTACTGTGAACTGTGTTACTTCCATGTCTGCGTAGCAATGAGGATTCCTGCTATTTCTATGCCTAGCTCATATCCTTTGGTTCCGCCTAAACTCAAACCAATGAGACCAGGCTTATTGAGATAGGATGGGGCCTGGGAATTTGGATATTTACAAGTTCTCCAGAAGGTTCTGATACCCAGCAGAGTTTGAGATCCACAGGGTTAAGAAAATCTAAGGTAAGAAAACAAATTACTGGCAGATTTCAGATAAAAGTGCAGCTTCCTTCTCAGACACGAATGTTTTACACGCCTTGGACTAAATTTGCATTATAATTAAAATACTCATCAACTGTTTTGGAATCTACTGCTCAAAGCATTAAAAGTCAGATGTTAACTGGCTGTTGTCTTGTAGATTGCAGGAATGGATGTAGATACACATTCACACAAAACCCTGTCCTTCTGAGGATTACCTGGGACACAGATGTGCACAGTAGTGGAAATACATTTTTAAAAGGGAGACTCTGGCAATGATAATATCTTATAGTTCCTGAAGCATGCGCTTCTAAATGGATCTCAGTTAACATCGGGCTTCTAATATTTCATATTCTAGACATCAAGAGAATTAATTTAATTGGGCAGTTATGAGGCAAATTGATAAATAAGTAGAATAAAAGAAATAAAAAACTAGAGGGGGCATGTGAACTGCTGCTAAAATGACTAAACACACATTGACTTGTGTGTCTCAGGGCATTTAAATTTGAATGATTGCATTTGTGTTAGATGACCATAATTCTAAGGGCTCAAATGACCCAGAACTGACCTTAAAGTGTTCTTTTCCAAAAAGAAACAAACATGAATCCCACAGAACTACCTACCATCCTATCTCTGGAAATTTCATTAAAGATAATAGAAAATAAATGTGTCCATCCAAAAAAAGAATTATATGAAAATATGCAAGTATTTCAGGACACAAAAGCAAGCTGATATCACAGAAAAGTGCTAAGACAAGGGAAACAGAAGTATGCCAGAGTGCTCAGCAAGTGGCTGCTGAGCAGGCTGGGGTTTCATGGCACCAATTATGAGTGTTGAGTTTGCATTAAAAGGCCATCAATACAGGGCACTGAGACCACCAACCATATTCTGTATTCAGGGGATGTATACATAATACGCTTTGCAAACCCAGCGAGTGTATAGAATTATCATTGTAGAGCCTGAGGCCACCAAGGTCTCTTATTTCTGCTCACAGTTTTTATTCCAAGCCTAAATTTTAACCCTGTGGAATTCTCAGACTATGTACACATTCGCTGACTTTTATTTGTGGGGTCATGTGGAATAGGAGACTCATGTTTGGCTGAGCATTGACTACAGACCGGGTATAGAACTAGCCACTTTGATTTACCTTCACGAACATCCCAGAAGTACACACTGTTCTACTGCCTGATGGACAGGGAAACTAAAGTCCGGAGAAGCACTTCATCTGCTACTTCATATCTTTTGTACTGTTAACTGATACGGTCTCATTGGATGGCTTAGTCTGATAAGCCGCCATCGACCTATTAATAGCCATCATTTGATGATGACTTTGAAAGTTCTTTGTACACTATATTTATTGCCTTGTTCAATTTTCCCAGTCACTTGTTGATGTTCACAATTCGTCTCCCAGCTTTCACTCTCTACCACCTACAATCCATGGTCCACACAGCAGTCAGAATGACCTTTGAAAAATGTACATCAGGGTAGATTTCCCTGCTGCTGAGAATCTTCTGGTGACTTCCCATCAGTACTGGAGTGAAGTGCTCAGGTCCTGCTGCAGCTTGCAGGCTCTGTGGCATTTATCAGCCTGTCCCGCTGAGCCTTGCTCCTGTGCCTCCGCCTCCAGCTCTCTGTCCTTTGGACAGGTGGACGTCAAACCTGGGAAGCTCATTCCCACCACAGAGTCTTTGCAGAGACTCTTTCCTATGGCCGGGGTGCCCTTTCCCAGTCCTTATACAACCACCTCCTGTTGTCTCAAGAAAACTGCCGGGATCCACCTCCCTCTCCCTTTTACAGGAAGGTTAGATTTCCCCCTTTGAAGAACCTATCGGGTTGCATTTCTCCAGGAAGATAACTGAAATGAGAAACCGAATGGGCTGGACTGGTGTCCATCTTGGTGGAGGGAGACGGGATGAGTTTGGAAGACTGGAGTCCCAAGTGTTCCAAGAGAGACTGAAGGGTCTTACTCTTGGGAAGATCACTTCCTGACTCTAAGTGTCAGTGTTGCCATTTGCAAAAGGGCAACATAATATTGCTCATGGGATTTTCCTAAGACTCAAATGAAATAATGTATGTGGATGTATTTAGTAATTAAGTGCTCTTCAGGTGAACATAACATGTAACCACCTAATGTATACCTTGTACCTGACCATACGTATCGCCTTCTATCCAAACAGAACAATACTACTAATAAAGGAATATGTTACTTTTGAGCATCCAGCGGCTCAGACAGTAAGGAATCCGCCTGCACTGCAGGACACTCAGGTTTAATCCTTCGGTTGGGAAGATCCCCTGGAGTAGGACATGGCAACT